AACATTCTTTAAGAAATTTCAGCTCTTCTTTTGTTTATCAAACTTTGTGATTTTTCAGATCTTCACTTGGAATTTTCAGCTTTGTTTCAGCCGTTTGCGTTCAAATCGCGAGTGGGTGAGTCTTCGTCTTTGTGTGAGTGTGGTGGTGAGTGTATTCTCCTATGGAAAACGAAGGAGGGAAGTCGCAAAAAGAGAAGATGGAAGATGGAAGATGGAAGGGATGCTTGTTCTGGTTTTTTATTCAAGAGCGTCGCTGCTGGGTTTCTAAAGGGCTCCCTTCTTTTCTGATATTCTCGCTGGTTTTTAGGGTAAGGTCCAAGTGTTAATATCAAGGGGGATCCAATGTTTTATGTGATGGATCTGGGCCGGTTCGGTTTAGTGGGTTTGACCCATTTTCTTGGGCTGGGGCGATGAGCCATTGGGCTGGTCCGAATTGGGCACTGTTTGGGGATGATTTGGGAGATTAAAAAAATGGGTCCAATGTCAGAGAATTAATACTCTTATATTCCTCTTCTTTTATTTTCAATTCTATTTTTTTTCCTTTTCTTTTCTTTTTCCTTAATTAAAAATCCTAGAAATTAAAATCCCAGATTATCTAAAAAGTGTGAAATTAAACTAATTAACTAATTACAAAAATCATAAAAGCTACTAAATCCTAAATTAAAAGAGAAAAATCAATAACCTAAATATAAAAGGCAAAAGTGTAAAAATGAATCATTTTTTGTGGTTTTCAAATTTTTATAAAGCAAATAATTATTGGTTAATTCTAAAAATATAAAAACAAATCCTTAATGCAATGCATGATATTTTTGGTATTTTTCATAATTAAAATAAAAATTAAACCTGCACAAAAATACAAACAATTAATAAAATCCTACAAAAATCCTATAAAATGATAGATAATTGGAAAAAATCTATTTTATTGGATTTTATAGGAGCAATTCATATGGGGCAAAAATCATGTGCTCACAGTCATAAAGCTGCTGGAAGTAATATTGTTGCTACTTCAGCAAGTTCTGTGCCTGCAAGTGTTGGTAGTTCAAAGCCACCAAAGCAACGTACTGGAAGAGGAAGGGGTAGGCCAAAAGGTTCTAAAGAAAAGGTGAAGTTTTTCCCTTCAATGTCTTCTTTCTCTTTTTTAAATAATTACCAGATTTTTACTTTTGATTGTTTGATGTAAGATGTTGGTACTAGCACTTATGTAAGAACACAATATAAGAAACCAAGGATGGTTGGGATGGGAGTTTTACACACTCAAAGTAGCTTCAAAATTCAAAATGTAAGTCTAACACAACCTCTCATATTTAGGTGAATTCATTGTTTGATTTTCTGTTAGGTTTTGGCAGCTTGGAATGTCATCTACAAACTTTAAGAATGTGAGGTCTTCAGCAGAAGCAACTGGAGATCTAAGCCATCAACCAACACGAGGTGTTAAATGGAAAGGTAAAGAAGCTATGGCATCAAGGCAGCTTCAACAATTTAGAGGCAAGAAACTCATTCAAACAAGGTCTAGGGCTGCTAAGTTGAGCCAGGAAAGCACCACTGCAAATCAACCCAATTGATGAAGATATTATTTTGTTGATGACTGTATTGCAATAGACCGCATTTTGATATTATTCTGTATTTTGATAAGGATTTTTAGGTAGCTATAAACTGTATTTCTCATTTTGTTACATTTGGTGTCTGTTTTGCTGCTGCTACAATGACAAAAAACAGCTGTTTTGTTAACTCATTTTGTGACTTTTATGCAACAAATGCATATATGATGTTTTGGTGATCTATGTGTTGTACAGGTCAGAAATGTGATGGGATCACAAGGTTGATAGTATGTGTATTGGCCATGAAATGAAGTACTTTGGTTGGTGACAAGGAAACTTAGTACTGTTGTGTGTCTATTTTTGATTGCCAAGTTCTGAAGTTTATGCAGTTTACTTCACAATGTAAAAGCATCGCTTCTTTAGAAACAACAATTGATAAGCAACAACTACATACATATTGAGATGAGAAAACTACAAAATATTGAGATAACAAAACTACAAAAGGCTTATATTCAAATGAAAGGTCCATTGCAAACATACAAAATAAAACCTACACGCAACAACTACATACATATTGAGATGACAAAACTAGATTCGCAATGGCAACCTCATTGCATCTTCTTTCAATGAGATTCCTGGATACCCACAAGCAACAAGAATAATACACATCCCCAATATAATGAACCAAAGTACATTTTCCCTAGCCTTTGACTTAGCCAATTTACTCTTCCACTTCTTTTCCTTCTCTTTCATCTTCTCCATATCATCTTGCAATTTCACCAATTGAGCCTCAATCTTCTTCATCTTGTCCCCTTCTATGGTTTTTTCAACCTTTAAAGTTGTCCTTGGCTTGGCAAGATTTTCAAAGCCTTCTAATGCATTCTCAAGTTCACCCATTTTGTCAAGCAATTTTGGAATAACAAATTTGGACCTAGGATCAATTTCGGAATCCTTCCAAACCCAAAAATCACAAAGATCGTGGACCCTAAGATGAATAACAAAAGAAAATTAATCAATGATAATTTTTCACAACTTAATTAGTGAAAGAATTTTTACTATCGTTTACCCCATAGTATGGACAAACCCAATATCTTCTTCCTGGGTTTCGAGGGGTCCAAGCTGTTAACAAAGGCAGCACATAGCCATGGTTGCATCGAATATCTCCACTTGACTCATTTTCTTCCTCTTCCGTGCAAAGCCTTGTCAAATTCAAGCCTTTTGAAGGTATTACAACAACTACAACACAAAAAGACAAAATCAAAGTCAGATAATTTACATTTGCTTTCAAAGATCAGATAATAGGATTTTAGGAGAAAGACATAACAATAATAAAAGAAAAAAATTAGGGTTCTTAAGAAGGAAAAAGATTAACCTTTGCCTTCAAAGATTAAAACTTCAAAGGGCAATTTGATGGAATTTCGGCAGAAATTAAAAGAAGAAGAAATTAGGGTTCTTCAATTGGGTTTGGTAAAATATTGGGGAAGAGGGGATTTTACCGTTGGTTGGGGGTTATATTAATGTTAAAAATTTCTTTCTTTCTTTTTTTGGGTGTTTTCAACGATTAAAAGAGAGAAAGAACGCGCTCAATTCGGTTGTCTAAGACGCGCAGCTGGCCAGGCCTTAGGAGGGAGTAAATAAATACAATTCTTTAAACAATAGTGGTGTGTTAGGATATTCGAAAAGTTTAAATGTGTAAATAATTTTCCAGGACAAATTAAATGGGGTCTTTATGCATTTTATCTAACAGAAAAGAAAGAAAAAAGGAGAATAGAGGGGAGATATTTATGGAAATAAAAAGAAAGCAGAAGACAAAACTATTTGAAGGTGACAGGTAGGCGGTAGCCATCATAGGTGCGTGGAGCTGAAGTACCGAAAGTACTAAGTAGAGAGAAAAGTGGCATACATTAAAAGAAATAAATAAAAAATGAAAAAAAGAAGAAGAAAATAGGCAAACAAAAAGAGAAGCGGAAAATGGAGAGAAACAAAAGAGCGGAAGAAAGACGGAGAGAAAGCGAGACTTAAAATTCAGGACACATTTTTTATTTAATTTAGTATACTAAGTAATAGATATTAGTTCGAGTCAGTTTGTGTACAATTTTATATTGTCTATCAAAATTTTAAAAAGATATACTTACATAAGTATTTTCTAAAATTTAAATTTGAAATTTCTAAATAGTTACTCTTGTACAATAAATAATAGGCCCTTACCTTAGAGATGATCTAACCGACATCAAATTCAGCGTATATTATTTAGTTTTTATTTTAAATGTCAATTATCGTAATAAATAAAAAATTGTATGTCAATTTTAAATAAATTAGAATCAGTTATAAATAACTCAATTTATTCGTTAAATATCCAAAACATTTATAGCAAATAATATTTAAGATTATATTATTTCTTACAAATAATTAGTGCGATTCCTAACAAGTTTCAACTTGCCAAAGCTACTCAAGTCAAAATCTTCTTCTCACAGTAGTTTAAAATTAAACACAACGTACTTTTAAGCTTTTGTGAAGGGAGCCATAAGTGTTAAAGTTGTTGTCATGTAATCAAGAACCCATGAAAATAGTCTCTTATAAAAATATAGGGTAAGACTGCGTATAATAGACCCTTATGCTTCGACATTTTCCCGATCCCGCATATAACAGGAGTTTAGTACACCGAATTGCCCCGTATTTTTAAGCTTTTAATAGAATAAATTAGGCATGCCAATTTTTTTTTGTTAAACACAAAGTACTCTTAAGCTTTTCATAAAAGAAATTAGGCATACCCAATCCCCTTGTTTTTGGCACCATATCTTGTTTACACCTAAAAGTGTGAGCTTTTAAAAAGCATATCACCACAACGTAACTATTAATCAATTTGAACTAGTATTAAATATAAATATTTTTATTATCAATTATGTTTGTAAAGTTCATTCCCATTTTACTCCTGAATTTTCTTATTACTTTCTCCCTTTCAGTTTGTTTGATACAATTTTTTTAATATGTCAAAAAGATACCTTTATATTTTTAAAAATATATATTAAATTTTAACCTTTTATTTTATCCTTATTTAGATGTTAGTATGACATACAAATATTTATGGTTTATTATAAAAATAAATTTTAATTTTTAAATTTTTGTTAATTTTTTTTTGAGTAAAAGGTTGTTTACATGTGATCTATATGTCACGAGTTTGAATCATACATTATGTCATTAATGCCTGTATCATGTAAATTGCTTACATCATTTTCTTTAGGGGCAGGATCTTTTCCCAAACGCTAGGTGAGTGCAGGATAACTCGTGTGAGCTGCCCTTTTTTTATTTTATTTTAAATCTTCCTACCTAATTAATACTCCTATTGATTATGCTTGTAGTTTATTACCGTTTTACCCATGAAAAACATTGTTATTACATTTCAAGCCACTCGTGTGTGTGTGTCATAAGCTGAATACCACGTGTCCCACTGAAAACAACTCCTCCTCCCATTTTCTCTTTTTCCTCATTAGAGTATACAACAACATAGGACTGTTACAGCAGCAGAGTTTTATCTATCACTCATCAAAATTTGGTAAAATTCTTTCAAGATTTTCTTTAAATGAGAGTGAAAGAGGAAAAGGGTGACTAATGATTGTTTTATTCTGAGGAAAACTGAAGTAAAGAGTGTGTGTGTGTGTGTGAGGGGATATGTATACCGGAGGATTAGGAGGGCCAATGCGAAAATCATTCAAGGATTCTCTTAAAGTTCTTGAAGCTGATATTCAACATGCTAATACTCTGTAAGTCAACTTTTTTTTTTCTTTTTTTCTAATTATTTTTTGTTCTTAGCCAACAAAAAGTGTTTTTTTCCTTCATTTTGGTCTCTATTGATATCTGAAAAAATTATGGTGTTTTCTTAGAATTTTATTATGATTGGCTTTAAAATTTTCTGAAATTCTTAACCCCTTTAGGATGTTTTGTGGTTTCAACCTGTTTGAGTCCCTTTTATTTTATTTTTTTAAATATTTTGGTTCAGAATTTTTTTACTGATATTGGTTTTTGTTATATTTATGTTTTGAAGTTTTAATCTTTTTATTGATTATTCTGAAACCTTTTCACCTCTTTAGGTTGTTTGTGGTTTCAACCCTGTTTGAATCATTTTTTATTTTTCTATTTTTTTTTCCTGTTTTGGTTCAGAAATAATTTTTACTGATATGGGTTTTTGTTTTCTTGAATTTTGAAATTTTAATCTTTTTATTTTATTCTACCTTTTAAAAATTTTACCCTAAGGTGTTTTTCTAACAATAAAGTTAGAATCTTTTTTTTTTTCTGGAGGTAGTTAACTTATTGATTTATTTTTTTGGAGACTGTTTTGGCTACCAAAATGGGATTTTTGGAGTTACAGTTGCTAAGTAATTTGTGGCAGCGAGTATATATTTGATTATCAGTGTTAGTTCGAAGTTCACTTCCTAATTTGATTGCTTCAACTAGAGATAAAGGTAACATTTTCAATGCTAATTGATACTTAGCTTCTGAAGAGAGTTCTAATGTTCTTATTATGGAACTTTATATATAAACTATCAAGGCTTACCTTTTTTTTTTAATTTGCTTCTGTCATTGAATATTTGATTGTTGCAATCTGGTGTTAGAGCTGAAAATTTGACTCAAAAAAGTAAAATGTTAGTAGTTATTTAGTAGGTCATTTTTCTCTCCATTAGTGCTCTTCTGTTTTGCCTTTGGTTTTTTCTTTTATCCTTCTTTTTAGTATAGAACTGATGTCTTGAGCCAGCTTGCATGCCCCTCGGCTAATCCACCCGCTTGTCCACCTGTCCCTTGTGGACCCCTCTTTGCTTTCCTTTTCTAAGAGTACTTTTTTCTTTTTTGTTTGGGTTGTGTGGTGTGTGTGTGTGTGGGTGGGTGGGNGAAATTTCATTTAACCGTCGAAACGTGGCATACAATTTAGTATCGAATAAACCAATTACCCACCTTTTGTCGACGGCATATCCATAAAATAGATCATTAAACACTAGGTGATTTCTTTCTATCTGCCTAACCCTTAGTGGGTAGAGTTACCCAGTACCTATGTTGCTGGGAGGTAGCAGGTACCCGGTGGAATAATCGAGGTGCACACAAGTTTGCCCGAACACCACCATCAATAAAAATAGATCATTAAGAAAATGTCCCGTCATCAAGACATAATGAATTGATGATTTGATTTTGGTGACAATCACTTGCTGTTTGTGGTGAATGTGTCTCCAAACCAGGTAATATAGTGTTTACCTCTGCCTTCTTGTTTGGTCCTTTGGCATCTGATGGGCGTAATATGGTTTTGCAGTGCATCTGACTTTTCCGGGGAGTATGATGGAGCTTGCTTACAGATGCGAATGTCCTACAGTCCTGCGGCACACGTCTTCCTTTTCTTAGTGCAATGGACTGATTGCCATCTCGCCGGTGCCCTTGGTTTGTTGAGAATTCTTATTTACAAGGTTTTGAATCGTTTTAATTCACGCATTACCAAAATTCTCTTCTTTTCTTTTCAAGCGCCAAATTCTTCCATTCAAACTTCTTCTCATTTTGCAATATCTAGGGTATTCAATTGAGTACCTTTTACCTTGCTGCAGGTATATGTCGATGGCACCACAACCATGTCAACTCATGAAAGGAAAGCAAGCATTAGGGAGTTCTATGGCGAGTTTCTATATTTTTCTTCTGTTGATCTAATGACAAATACTTCTGATAAATCATGTAAACTTAGATAATTGTCGCTTATAATCATGTTGATCTTCCTTGTCCAGCTGTTATTTATCCCTCTTTACTTCAACTTGAAAGAGGTGTGACGGACTCGGAAGACAAAAAGCAAAAAGCAGTTTGCCTGGAGAGATACAGGAGACGAGATGATGAGGATTACAGACAAGCTTATGATTTGGACATTGAAAGGGAAGATGAATGTGGAATCTGTATGGAAATGAACAACAAATTTGTCCTTCCCAACTGCAATCATGTCATGTGCTTGAAATGCTATCGCGAATGGTATGTTTCATAACTTTTTGATACACAATTGATAAACTTACATCATGAATTAAGTGAAAAGATCCTTACTCCAACCTTACTACCCCAACATAGAGAAAAAATACAAGGGTTTTCCTGGAGAAAAAGGACATGCTTATGCCATTGTTGTTTCTTGCTTCGGTTGTCTTTTTCTGGAAACAGTCAATTTGGAAACATCTGATGCATGTAAAATGCATCTGGCACAAGCGTGCTGCCACATATCTTGGGCATAGATTAAGGTAATGTATGTACAGAGTTCCACAGATATGACCTTTTTCTTCCTTCCATTTTTTTGTTTTTAAGGGAAGTAGCCAAAAGTATTTGTGATAGTCGAGCTCTGTCTTTTGACATGGTGTTTGTAATATGTGCATGATGAAGACGTTGCAGTTGTTAAAAAAAGTTACAGCGTTCTGCGACAAGGAAATTACTTGGGGGAATTTAGTAAATTTGAGAAACTTCTCTAGCAGTGATGAATCACTTCGTATTTCTTCTACGAGGCAGTGAGAGGCTCCCAGGGGATTTTGTCTAGTGGAAAGCACAGTGCATAATGTGTGGTTAGGCTCACGTCACGGGTTCGAACCCTGTTGCAGATATAAACCTGGTATTTAGGGTAGGGGAGGGGGGTGCATCCATTTCACATCGAGTTCCGAACCGTGAGCCACTTGTCATCAGATATTTCTCAGTCACCAATTTTTTTTTATATACACGGAGACAGGGAGTGATCATAAATGATCTTGGCATAAGCTTATGCTGGACTAATATGCGTGGTTAACACCTTTTTTCCTTAATCCTTAATGGTCAATCAGGTTAATGAGTAATAAAATGTTGTTTTTAAGTTGTTCTACATGAAATTATAGTTTTTTCATGCAAATTAAGTGGCATATAAGAAAAAAACTTGTTTCTTTTGTGTGATCCGATACTGCAGCTAGGATGTTTTATATTTTGGTTGCTGAGTAGTAATTATACAGGAGTTTTGTTCTGAAGCACGTCTATACTCTCTTTTTCCGCCCCGTATGTTAGGACTAACTTCTGGTAATTCTTCTTTGAACATGTTGCTCGAGACGGTTTTATTTCGTTGGAGTCCTGACTTGTTATCTATACCAATTTGCTAGTCCATGTAACTTCACTGCTCAGTTTAGGTATTTTCCCATTATGCAAAAATTTGTCTTCAGCCAACTTTTGCAATCACTACATAAATTCCAAGATAATTCATAATTCAAGAATAAGAACATATGAAGGTCAACTTCTCTATATGGAAGTATAAAAAACTATTCAGATGAAGACGTGATTTGCATAAGCAAACATTTTTCATTTTGAGGCTTAATGGCAATCTCTATTAATGATCATAATTGGTAAAAATTACTTATAGAATGTTGTCCTCTTTATGAGACCCCTTAGGAAAAAGGTAAGAAAACCGGTCTCCGTTGGTTCTCTAGATGCACAAGAGAAGGCATAATGTTACTGCCGGGAAATAAGTTGCTCCGCATCTAAACTATATTCTGGGTGTAGTAATTGTGATCTGGAAATGTCTCATTTACTCTCTGAGCTTGAGTAGTCAGCTCGCTCTTTTCTACTAGCTCTCTCCTTTTTGTTGCGTTAAGTGTAACTATGTTTCCTATTTCTTTTCTTTTTGAACACACACGAGAAGGAATCTCTTAGCGCCTCCCTAGTAATATATGATGAACATATCACTATCTATTTAGGGGTGCTTTTTCGACTCTGAGGTTAAATAGTTATGTCATTTGCTCGAGGGTTGGGATCTCTCCTCTCTTTTTATTCTTTTTGCGGATTTTGCATTTCTTTTTGGAGAGATTACAAGTTGCTTATTGATGTAGGAAAATTGTAACCACTTGCAGTGAGAGCAATTTGTTAAGCATCAAATAGTATGTGGAAATTTGAGTTACAATCTAAAGGGAAAGATTTTTGGCCACTACTCTTTGTCTTCTCTCTTTACTGCACGTGTCTGCTTCTTTCAATGTACCTATGATGCAAATTAACAAGGACCTTCGTTGATGTGTTACAGGCGTTCGAGGTCACAGTCATGCCCCTTTTGCCGCGACAGCCTGAAAAGGGTGAGCTCGGGGGATCTGTGGGTATATATGGACAGCAAAGATGCGGTGGACATGACAACAATTACGAGAGAGAATCTGAGAAGGCTGTTCATGTATATAGACAAGTTGCCATTGATGGTGCCGGATAATGTTTTTGACACATATGATACTCATCTAAGGTAGAGGAGCAATGTCCTATTGGTTATCTTGTTGAAATTGGTCAATGCTAGATTGGAAAAGGTTATGGTATTTGGATTTAGATATGAAGGTGGTTTCCTTTTCACTTTGTGATTAGAAGAAACCCAGCCTGTATTATCGAGGCGCGGGGGGTTGAAAAGGTAAGTTAGATTAAGCTAAAATGAGCTTTATAATTCTCTAATCTCCTAATTTGTACATGTCTGTACAGTTGCAAAGTTTGGTTCTTGACATTACTATTTCTTTTTGGTTGTTTGGTTTCTCATTTTCATGTCTGGCACAGAAGCCAACCTCATATATTGACTATTTATATACATTGCCAGTGTAAATAATCACTCTTTTTATTCAAGTAAATAATGTTTACACTATCAAGAATCTAGCTTTCACATCTTACTATTAAGGGGTTGTTTGGTTGGGAAACAAGTTATCCCGGGATTAGTTATCATTCCACCTTCCTATAAGGATAAAAAAAATTCTACCACGATTTTATTCCAACCAATATGGGATAAACTCATCTCAAATTTAATTTTGTGATTAATTATCACTTATACCTTGTACCAAACGAGCCCTTATAAGTTGGACTAAGCACGAGAGAATGGTTGTATTAAACCCAACTATTGAGAATGCACAGTGGAGATGAAGTTAAGGCTACCCATGTAAAGAGGTTATCTTATTTCAGTAGAAATAGCACCAGGTAGCCACTTTTAGATATTTAAACTATAGTTAGTTTTTAAAAGTTATTTAAAATCTAGCCAGATTTGGCAAAATTTTGAGTTCAGACCCTTCTTATTCGTGCTGTTTCTTCTTTTAAAGTTAGGTTTCGTCAATTCGAACTTAGATCCGACGTGCTGAACTTCTGAACTTTGGGCCTGCGATTGAACTGTCAGACTCGCGGTGCGAAGTTTTGATTCCAAAGGCGGTTAAATTTTAAATATTTTATAAATTTTAATTATTTTCTAAAGCGTAATACGGCTGTTTGTGCACTTTGTTTCAGCATAGAAAGAGCTCTTAAAAATAGCACGGTATAGCTAGTTTTAAGACTGGTCATTCAAAAATAGCCAGTATTTACGAAGTCAATGAAAAATAGTCATTATTTTGATGCAACAGAGACCGGTCCAGCATAATATACAGGAGTTCGGTGCACTTGTGTATGAACTCCAGCATATTATGTTGGGCCGGTATACTTTGCTGACTCCAGTATAATATACTGGAGACTGGAGCAGCGGTGCTTCAAACTCCAGTATATTATACTGGAAAATTATACTTGCTGGAACTCCATCATATTATGCTGGACTTATCCTGGAACTCCAGTATAATATGCTGGAGTTCAAGCATACTTATGTTGGAACTCCAATATAATATACTGGCGTATTTTCCGGGTTTTGAACAGTGTTTTCGCTCAGATTTATCTTTATATGAAAAGTGGCTAAATTTCGATCACTTTTGAAACTGGGCTATTTTTGAACGACCAGTTGTAAATCTGACTATTTTTGAATTTCTCCCAAAGAGCTCTCTTTCGACAAATTTGGACATGATCAATTGGCTAGATAGAGAACTAGATGGCTACGGTTTACAAAAGTAAAAATAGCACGGGCTAGTTAGTTTTTCGATTAGTAATTGAAAAATAGTCGGCGGCTACAAAGTCATTGAAAAATACCTATTGTTTTGCTGAAACACGGAAAGTTTTAGCATAATATGCTAGATTATGGAGCTCCTGTGTATAAACTTTCAGCGTATTCTGTTGGAACTCCAGCACTTGGAAAGTTGCAGTATAATGTGTGGGATTATGCAGTTTCTACATATAAACTTCCAACATATTGTGATGGAACTCCAGCACATCATAAAATTTTAGCATTTTATGCTGGAAACTCATATATAAAAAACTTTAACTCCGGTATATTATGCTGAAATATTTTCGATTTTTTAAGAATGTTTTTGTTCAGATTTTATCTTTAAATGAAAAAGTTATTAATTGCTATTTTTCAATTATCAGGTACAAATATGGCTATTTCTTATTTTTGGCCACAATCTAATTCAAGTGGCCTATGTAAGAGACTACAATCATAATTCCAAGCTGTAATGCTGGTCTGCAACAGAATCAAAATGGTCCATATGTGATATGTACGTTTCTTTTGTGGGTCCTTTCCTAATTGCCATTATTTAATTCAACTCTTATTATATTATTGTTATTACTCCATCTGTTTCCGCTTACGTGAACCTATTTCATTTTTGGTCTGTTCCAAAAAGAATGACTCTTTTCTAAATTTGGTAACAATTTAGCTTAAACTTATATTTTTACCCTTAATAAGAAGCTTTTAGAACCACACAAATAATCTGAGCCCTTTTTTGATTTGTTTAGGACCACAAATTTCAAAAGTCTTCATTTCTTCTTAAACTTCGTGCTCAGTCAAACAAGTTCACATAAATTGGAACGGAGGGAGTAATATTTAAATGCATCGTTTCATAATATATCGTATCGTACGGTATTGTATTGTACTGTATCGTTTGATAAATATAATGTTTGGATAGATTGTGTCGTTTGCCATCGTTTCATGATATCACGCATCAGCAATTTGAAAAATATATTTGCAATATTATAAAGAAAAATTATGATACAATGTAAAATTACTATATAAAAAAGTAGGGTAAATGATAAAATAAAATAATTTAATAATAATAAAGGATGAGATTGAGAGAAAGAGACAAGGTAACGACGCGACCACACCAAATCGATCGTTACATAAAGTGATACATTTCGTCGTTATATAACAATAGATTTAACGATACGATACAATAAAATTTAAGTAATAATCAAAATAAATATTATATTTAAAATAACAATACAATAGGATACAATGGATAACAACTATCCAAACAAGCTGTAAATCTAAAACAAACCGCTAATTTAGCCATTCAAGCATACTAGAATAGAAATCAAGAAAATATCACCCACACAAAAGGACAGAAGGCCAGAGACAGAAAAACAAAACAAAGAGAGGGAAAAAGGGTGAGAGGTGAAAAAAAAAAGCAGAAAAAATGGGGTTCGAAGGGGAAAAGAGAGAAGAGGAAGAAGGAGTAGTAATGGCTAATGATTTCTTTTGGTCATATACTGATGAACCTCATGCTTCTCGTAGAAGGCAAATCCTCTCTCAGTACCCTCAGATCAAACAGCTTTTTGGCCCTGACCCTTTTGCCTTTCTCAAGGTATATATATTTATGCCCATTTTTATATACATTTATGGATAAAGTTCAAATCTTTATGTATGAATTAGTGTTAATTTGATGCATTATTGGTTTTGCTTCATGGTGTTGTCTTAGATCTGAGATAATTATTGTGGGGGGGGGGGNTGTCTTTTGAATGACACATTTCTAAATTGTCTTAATAATTCATTCAATATTAAGTTTGGAGTAACTGAGTTCCAAAAAGGGAAAATCAAAACATACCCATATTTATAGAATATATATGTATAAAGTTGAAATCTTGATGTATAAGTTAGTGTTGGATTTGTGTGAATTTGATGCAGTTTTGGTTTTGCTTAATTGGGTTGTCTTAGATCTGGGATAATGTGGGGTAAAAGATTGAATCTTTATAATATTACTTCATGTGCCGCAGTTTTTGTGGCACACTTTTCTTTTAGTCTATCCTACAAAGAATAACACCTTCTTATATTGATAAATAATTTACTTTAAAATTTAGATTTTTACCCATAATGAGATAATTTATAACCGCAAATATGTTCAAGTGTTTCTTTTTGGGAGAGAGAGGGGGAATAAGGGTGTCCTAGATCTGGGATAATGTGGGGGGATAAAGATTGAATCTTTATAGTTGTATTGGTTGAGTTTTCAGTCGATGGGCTTTTATTTATTTTTGAAATATATTTTGTGTGCTTAACTGTGTTTTCAAGGATATTTGATAAATACAATTGTGGGGTTTGGATTTTTCCTTGGATTAGGCATTATCATAAAGGTTTATGCTGGCAATCTTTTTGAGTTGGAATGCTATGAGCTTTTTCTTTGAATTTGCTTCTCGAATCAGATAAATTGTGAAACATATAACAGCCTTTCAAACTTCAAGATTTTCTGTAATGGTGATTCAGTATCCTTCCTATTCTTCCTCTCGAGCCGAGGGTCTTCCGGAAACAGCTTCTCTGCCCTCCAGGGTAGGGGTAAGATATGCATACACATTACCCTCCCCAGACCCCACTTGTGGGATCCCACTGAGTGGTGGTTGTTGTTGTTGTTGATTCAATATCCTCTTTTTTACCCTTTTCCTGAAAAAGAAAAAGAATGTTGCCTTTGTCAGAATGGACATCTCTTGCTTATGCTCTTTTTTGTACTGCTCATATGTGTAATTCTTTCTACGAGTGGTTGCGATAGTTGTTGAAAGCACTTTGAAGTTTATGTGTTTAGACTGTTGTGAAATGGAGCATGAGACTTGTCATACACTCAGGTGAATTTTATTCCAGGAGATTGGATTTAGAGACTGAAAAGTGAAAATAAATCAAATCATGATATGGTCTTCGATTTATGACTTGCGTCCCTCAGGGGCGCATGTAGCACACCAAAAGCGGTTTCATAGTATTTTCTATGCTAAACATGGTCTTATATGTGAAAATCTACTAAATTTTAACAATACTTGATCTAAACCTATAATCTTAAAAGTAAAATGAGTTCACGAACCCATAATTAGATCTAAACTCATGAAGTTATATGTCAAAATCTACTAAATTTTCAACAAATTTTAGATCTAAATCCATAATTTATAAAGTAAAATGATTCGTTGCTAAGAACTTTACTAGTTGAACCATCAAGTTTAATCCTGGATCCGCCTCTGGTCTCTTACCTACTTTCTCTTTTCCCCTAAAACCAAAGTGGAAAAGATAAATCAAGACTGTATCAACTGGTGAATGTCAGGCGTTCCGATTAGCATCTATCTATGACTTTTCTTACTTACAATTTAGCTCATTGATACACTGGTATAATCACAACTCCTTGTCTACAATGTCAAATATTTTGATAGATAATGTTTTATGTGTTCTGCTCCAGATGTCTTTTCCTAGACGGCTTAAATGATAGTGACAACAGAAAATTCCTGCGACTATGGATTGGTCATGTGACTCATATCATATCCATTTACTCAGTCATGTGCATGCAATTACACCATCCTAACTCCTTGGAGAACAAGAGCAGATGCTATTTCAGAAATTACTAGTTCTAAAATATGAGCAAATCGTCACAGAAACTGATAAGTACTACTAGATTCATATAATTAATAAAAGATGTTTCATTATTTTTGATGGGTTTGAGATAACTATTTTGGCAGCAATATTTTCAAGTGAGCACTCATTGTCATTTATTTATCTATTATGGCAGCAAATCTTTCAAATTAGTGCTCACTGTGTATTCTTATTGAATTTTAACTATGCTTGAATTTGTATATAATCTTGCAGACTATTTAAATTTCTCGGTCTCTTAAATGTTTTGTCCTATTGATCACTAAACTTTGTCCTCTGCAGATATCTGGAGTTGTTTTGCTTCAGCTTTGGACTGCTACCTTCCTTCATGATGCAAGTTGGCTGAAGATATTGATAGTAGCTTACTTTTTCGGCTCTTTTCTAAACCACAATCTCTTCTTGGCTATTCATGAACTAAGTCATAACCTCGCTTTCTCTACTCCAGTCTACAACCGTTGGCTTGGAATTTTTGCCAACCTTCCCGTGGGTGTGCCCATGTCTGTTACCTTCCAAAAGTATCACCTCGAGCACCATCGCTTCCAAGGAGTTGATGGAATCGACATGGACATCCCGAGTCTTGCTGAAGCCCATGTCGTAAAAAATGTACTTGCAAAATCTATATGGGTCATTCTTCAACTTTTCTTTTATGCTTTCCGGCCACTTTTTCTTAAACCTAAACCACCTGGCATATGGGAGTTCATTAATTTGATTATCCAGCTATCCCTCGATGGAGCTATGGTTTACTTCTGGGGCTGGAAATCACTCGCTTATCTAATCCTGTCCACCTTTGTTGGGGGCGGGATGCATCCAATGGCTGGTCACTTCATCTCCGAGCATTATGTCTTCAATCCTGAGCAGGAGACATACTCCTATTACGGTCCCCTTAACCTTATGACTTGGAGCGTAGGATACCACAACGAGCACCACGACTTTCCCAGAATTCCCGGAAGCAAACTCTACAAGGTGAAGGAGATCGCACCAGAATATTATGAAAACTTAGATTCTTACAAATCTTGGAGCCAGGTCATCTACATGTACATAATGGATCGAACAGTTGGACCTTTCAGCAGAATGAAGAGAAAGCTGTCAACGAAGGCAAACAAGTCCGAATAGTTGCAGTGGTAGTCGTTGATTCCTTGCTAATACTTTCAGTCTTACTATGTGATATTTCTTGTCTGTTTTGATTCTTGTAACAATATGATATAGTTTCGGCATCATGTGCAATAGAGTTGATGTAGCAGTGACTAAGTTCATCTTTAATCATGTATAATATCCTTAGTTATGGGATTTCCATGTTATTTATTTTACTGCATATAGCCTCTTTAATGGGAGATTGTTTTTAGACAAGAGGGGTAAGCAACCTCCTCTTCCAATCAAGAGGTTGTGAGTTCGAGTCTCCCCAAGAGCAAGGTGGGAAGTTCTTGGAGGGAAGGATGCGGGTCTATTTGGAAACAGCCTCTCTACCCAGGGTAGGGGTAAGGTCTACGTACACACTACCTTCTCCAGACCCCACTAAGTGGGATTATGCTGGGTTGTTGTTGTTGTTGTTGTTGTTGTAGCCTCTTTAATGGGAACTAAAGGGGAAAAGAAATGACACATCTGAAGCCTTGGATATGCCTAGAGTCTCCTCTTGGAATATATGAACATAAAACTAACAGTGTGTTGCCCTTGCTTTCCTGATATGAGAGTCTATTGGAAACAGTCTCTCTATCTTTACGAGGTACGGATAAGGTCTGCGTACGCACTACCCTCCCTAGACCCCAGTATGTGGGATTATACTGTGTATGTTATTGTTGTTGTTGCTAACAATGAGTTGCCAGCTTATACTCCCTTGTTATATTTTATATGCCGGTGGTTGGCTGGGTACAGAGTTTCTGGAAGAAAGTAAGATTATTAGAAGTTGTAATCTTAAACGTGTTATGACACTTTTGTATCTAAACTTGAAATGTTTCCAATTATAGGAAAGATGTCATGCCTTTTTTAATGGATGAATAAGGAGAGGGTGTTGCGTAAAGTGGAACACCACTTCAATTTGTGCCTCCTTTGCTAGTTTTAAATATGTTTGAGTATTTAAACTAATAGAGTATTATGAGGGTGTTTGGCTAAGCTTATAAGCTGGTCAAACTGGCTTATAAGCACTTTTTGGCTTATCTACGCGTTTGGTAAAATTAAAAATGCTTATAAGTTAAGTGCTTATAAGCCAAAAATAAGTCAAAAGCCATAAGTTGGTCTCCCCCAACTTATCAAATTTCAGCTTATAAGCACTTTAAGTTTGACCAAAATATTTACTATTCTATCCCTAAAATACTTCTTTTTAAAACAAAACTCTTCGTATACCCAGTTCTTCAGCTGCATATTATTAATTTCAGCACTTTTATCCAAACACATAACTGCTTATTTAAATCAGTTTCAGCACTTAAAAGTACTTTTCAGCACCTAATACTTATCAGCTAAGACAAACGGGCTCTATGTCTATGGCTCGCACATGTCACTAACATGAATATCAATTCTACTGATGGATATATAAGAACAAGGCCAAAAATAGTAGTAGTATTTTTTTTTTCTAAACTCAGAAAATATTATTTTATTTGTTAAAAAAATTATTAAACTGAACATTAGTAAGTTATAGAAAAATTCAAGTGGTACATGCAAAACTTTATACTTTTACATTAAGAATTGTTAAATTGTCTAATTTAATTATCAAATCTTCAATAAAATTAGTGAACGTCATTTAGGTATAAGCATTAGCTTCTCCATTGTCTAGTCCGCCGTTGAGTGAAATCAGAGCCTCGTTTTTCCTTGGTCTAGTGACCAAAAACAACGAAATTAACATTGTTTTGTAATCAAAGAATTGAAATAAATTGCTCAATAAAAGATGTGTGGTTTATGAATAATTTGCTAGGATCTTAAACAAATTAACTAGCAATTCGGGATAATAATTGGCTGGTCCTATCGAAATTTGCAAATGAGACAACAATTTTAGCTATGTAATACAAAATGTTCTTCTCATGATAACATGAAACACTTGTCTATGACTGTTTGTAAGATTTCAAGTTTCTTGCCAATTTTCCAAAAGAACCAAAACTACTACTGCATCTAATATGTTGTGACAAAACATAACGAGTTATGCCAGTAATCCTAGTAGAATAAAATATATGCATTCCTTCTGAATACATCTATTGTTAGATTCCCAGTTATCTTAACTGTTCGATCCACCGCTGCTATGTGGAAGTCCCAGGTACATCATCAAAATCTATTGTTAGATTCCCAGTTATCGCAACTGTTAGATCCACTGCTGCTACGCGGAAGTCCCAGGTACATCATCAATGAGTTGGCTGGATTCAAGGGGTGGTATTCTTTTAACAGCAGGCATGGCCGGCTTCTCTTTGGGAGGAGGCTTGAGAGGCTTGCTCGGATGGATTTGATCGACTTTTTGGGAAGGAACATCAAACTGCACAACCAACAACAAAGCCATTGAATAAGAAACTGGAAATGTATAATGCAATAACATGCAATGCAGCACAAAATGCTAAGACGGTTGCAGATGAAACGAACAAGCATCCGGTCAATAATTGGATCAAATCGCTTGTGAATTAGTCTACACGGATTCTTCGTTCACCTAAATGTAATGTATCCATAACAATGGTATAAATATTTGATATGCATTCTTCAACAACAATAACAACAAACCCAGTGTAATCCCACAAGTGGGGTCTAGGGAGGATAGCGTGTACACAGACCTTTAAGAAGGCAGAGAGGTTGTTTCTGGTAGACCCTCGGTTCAGGAAAGATAAAAAGGAAGGAGCAACAACACCAGCCAACCAATCAGAAAACAGAAGCAAAAGAAACAACAAGTAATTGGTATAAATTCTTCAAAGACTGAAAATACAAGTACTCAAATCATATCCACATAAAGTTGCTTTAAGAATTTATCCTTTTTTTTCTTGGTACTACTTATTTCTTCCTAGTCCTCACAAACAGGGGCAGCACAGAGTAAGCCTGAGGTGCTACTTTCACTTAGATCCTTTTTCGATAACGACACTTACTCCACCATATCCATGCTTCTAAATACCTTGAATTTCACTCATTATCTGCAAGCATACTTTTGAGAAGAAAAGAAGGATCAGTACTCAATAACTTTTCAAGTAGCAAGCTTCCGAAAACATGTCCAACAAACCCTATGATAGGGAAAAGAGCAGCAAAATGCTATCTTTTCAGTATCTTGATTTGAGAAATTACAGTTATTTTCTCCACTGACATAAGGGTCTCATGATCACTGGTCACGAAACAAGTTACAACAAGGTATTGTATCAGTGCATATTATTATCTCGACCCAGTTTAATTTCTTTTACAATTACTTAGATAATTCAGTTAGTGCAACTACTTAGGAAATAAGCTCCCAAAGCTTATGCCAATAGCGCAAACAGACCTTGTATCCGCAGCCAGCTACACAAGCATGAAAGCATTCCTGCATGCAATTAAGAAGATTAAATGTCACTTATGTGCCAAAAAAGAAGTTTATGCAATTCACATTTTTTGTTTGAAAATTATACTCCGGAAACAAACAGATATACGATATTCCAATAATAAAACAACAACTACTACACCTCAGTCCCAAACGGTATTCCAATAATGATGGAACAATTCCTTTCCTCTTTGGATAAGAATTCAGTCATTTTTCTCCAGAGACCTCTTTGTGCACATTCGAATAACTGCTAGCAATCATTTTCAACAACTCATCACTTATATTTTGTCTGCACAAAGTGAGCTTAAGAAGCTAACTCAATAGATGATAATGGAAACTAAAGAGTAGAACTCAACCCCTTAGCCTTTTTTCCTTTTCTTTTTTTTCTCTCTCGATAAGTTCCTGTTTATGAGTCTAAACAATAAGCGCATTATATTTGGTTGGTGCATCACTCACTCTTTCCTATAATGCAGATTCGGAAGCTAAAAGACAAAAAGAAGAGAAACCGTAGAGAAACAACCAACTTCAATGCAGAAATCAACCTTCGAGCGAATCCAAAGAGTATTGAAATTCTAACTATTACAATACCTAAGGAAATCAAATTAACAAACTAAATAACAAGAGGTATTAAATCATCAATTGCTTAGCAAGTCCCTCCTCAACAAGTCAATTCAGCTGAAAAAACCAATGTTGCTCGGACTCTCCAAAATCGTCGGGTACGTGTCGGATCCTCCAAAAATACTATTTTATTTTTGAAGGATCCGACACGGGTGTGGCAGCATTTTGGAGAGTCCGCACAACATAGGATAGAACCGATGACTGGATCATACTAGATATAGGTAATTAACTTTCATGACATGAAAACGTAACTTTTAAGTTGGCTTATGAAATAGCATTTACTGCCAAATTAAGAGGAATCTAAGCCTTCCTTTCTTAACCTCATAACCAGATAGTCAAGATACTGATCCAGGGATCCACGAACGCTATATTATTTTGATGAAGTCATGAACACTTATATTAACATATGAAGCAAAGGCATCCACAACTGCTCTAGAAGCTCCCTTGATTTTTTTAGAAGCTCAAAAAATACAATCTTGTTTTGTCTGTCTTTTGCTACATACAATTTCACAATTTGGCAAGATTATGAAGAATACTATTAAGAGTGTTGGCGTTCAATCCAGACCTTGTACAGATGGAAAATTGAATTTGAACTACGATTGACAAAATTCTTCGTGATACAAATGACATTGTTAGAAACATCACATTTTGAGAACTGTGAAAGAACAACCAATGAAGATAATAAGAAGGGTGGGGAGACCTCAGAGCAGCTGGCAGCACCAGGGGATCGATCAATGTAAGCACTCCACTGTTGATCCTTCAGAACTGGATTTTTATAGCATATTTCCTCACATTCTGACAAACCTGCATTTAGCTATTCATTCTTCTAGTGTAGCTTGGACCAATAGATAAGCCTCATTAAGGTCTCAAGTTTAAAAAATAAGACATTTCCTAAGCATTAGTAATAGATACATGCAACATCTCGAGATTAAATAATTTAATTTGAACTCCAAAGGGGAGCCACATTATGGCCATTCCCCGAACTTGAGGAACCATGAATATCAACTTACGCTGTTTGTCTCGAGGTTAAATAACTTAATCTAGCCATATAAGATAACAATTACATGGGCGTTCTACAAAGTTGAGGCATGGTTTTCCATGTTCATAAACTAGATAGTATTGGACTAGATAGTATTGGGCTGCAATGGCGTATGCAGAATTTTCCTAAGCGTTGTCGACATTCAAAGAAGTGAACGAATGAACAAATTACTGTAACGACATCATATATAAAAAAAGAACACAATTCGAATCCTATTAAGAAAACAGAATTCAAGTACATCGCTACAACTCTCCTCGGCGTGTTTTCATTTGAAATGTATCTATTATAGTCTCATTAGAAATAATATTAAATTCTTCATTTTTCTATATAAGACACCAAACAATCACTCAAAAACTCATCATATATTTGATTCCACAAATCGGCCTTAATCTACTTCATCACCGAGAAATAAGATGAAAGAAAAAAGAAATAGTAAAACAACTTCCAGTGGAAACAACGGCACCTTAGAAGGGAATTTATTTTTCTTTGGAATGTGTGATATTGACTCTTGACCTACTGTTTTAGTATGAACTTACCATCTAAGAGGTCAATAGTTCAAGCCCCACTTATATGCACAGAAATTTTAAAACACAACGATGCATCTGCCGATGTTCGAACCCATGGCCTCTCTTATTAAACTAAGGCACTTGACCAGCAGAGCCAAGGAGCTCTACCTAGTGATGTCATTTTATCTTATTTAGCCTATGTTTTATTTTTGCATATTATTATATACATATATCGTGAAAATTTCCAACAAAGTGGTGTCCTGCTGGGATGTAACCCATATTTACATATTATCTTGCGCAATATAACAAAATTGCTATTCATCAAAGCAGGCTCACTGCCATGTGCAAGTGCCTTTACAGGCAACATAGTTCCTCATCACAATGGTTAGATAGCAAGATAAAGAGAGCAGGCAACTTAACTATTCACCAGGGTTATTCAGAAACCAACAACATCCATAGCATGGAAGCTTGTAACTTACATTCATCCCATGACTCGCCATCAGCATCACATCCTTTTTTGCAGAAGACTCTCCCTTCAAAAATTCAGACATAGCAAAATTGTGATATATCCGAGCTTATTCATGCCAAGAAACAAATTACTACAAGAATAAGTCGACACTAAAATATTCGAAATAAATTAAAGTGGTATTATATTTTGTCAAAGAAAATATATCTTAGAGAATTGTTTTGTAACGAAATTACAAATAGATGGACATAAAGATCGCAAGCTAAAAAAGGCCGGAGTGATTATTGTTAAAGTATTGGGTTTTACTAGCTACCCTCCTTTTCCATCTACTTCCATAGACAACATACTTATTACAGTTGAATTATCATGCTTTCAATTTCTTGATGTCTATGACATGCAATACTTCGAAAGAAGAGCAAATTCCAAGTAGGTTCATATTTGTCCAACTAGCATTGAGCCAGAACTTGCAACCAGTGTTGTAAAGGTCATTTTTTACAAGGATCCAAAATCTGAGAGCCTCCACTCAAGGAAATAAAAAAAGAGAAAATTCAGATACTTGAATAAGGACCTGCTAATGCATCTTATCCATTCACAACTAGATATTCTTAAGCTACCCATGGTGACCTTTAATTGCAGTGACACCTTAAACAAAGAGAGCAGACCAATCACAAATAGATGATCGTTGGGAAAATAAAAAGACCTTCTAATTTTCCATAGTTAGAGGAACTTGACATTTTTAAAGACCTTATTGACTGTTCCTGTTGGCAGTTATCTTAAAATTCTTTAAAGAGTTGTTACTTTACCAACTTGTCCTTCTCAAAAGAAGAGAGGTAGCTGATTAAAATTCTCAATGTAAAGGATTTTCTTTCTCTTTTCTGCTTAACTAACACATTTTTGAATGCTCAACCAACACACTCTTTCTATTATATTAGTCCAATCACACACCTTAGGGCGTCCTCTAAATTAACATGGCAACATCACCAACTTTAACACTGAATGGTTAGATCCATATACTGATTATCCATATCTAAGAGAAAACTACAATTTTAGAAACTATAGGAAGTTACCCCTCAAAAAAAAAAAAAAAAAAAAAAAGGG